TTCGTTCCTCAGATTATTGAGTAAGAATTGCATGAGGGGTGTAACTCTCTTTAGTAAAATGTGAGGCACAGCCTTCACGGATGCCACGTGTGTAATAGTTTATATAGACATTCCTGGCTCAGCCTCCAATCCTCTAGATCTGATCATCTTAGTTCATCTTGCATGTTTTACTGGGGAGGTGAAAAATAGTGAGGTAGGTGCTCTCATGCAGCTAGGCATTAGGACATTGAATTCCACTCCTATTTGTGTACACGGAGCACCACCTGCTATTTTGACTCCTCTTGAGTTTGATTTCTCTCAGCCTAGTTGGTAAAGCAGAAGGAGCTAAAAGGAAAACTGGAAATCCAGGGCTATAATTCAACAAGACTTTTAATATGACATGAAGTAAGCATTACAGAATGGAAGAGTACAGTCTGATAATGGTCTATTACACAGTCCAAAGGCAGCCAGAAGGTCTGTGCTGATAACAAAAGGGACTCTACTTTGTAAGGTAAAGCTGGAATCTTGGCAGAAAAGTCCCACTTTCAAATTTCAAAATATTTCCACTCCACCAGGAAAGGCATGGTGCAAGGTTAATAACAATTGAAGAAAGAAGGGATTACATGAAACTGCTATTGATAGACGATGAGGCAGACACGGAAAGGAGGCATGGGCCTGCTTTTTGGAGGTTTCAAGCAAGGGAGGCTCCCACTGACACAAAGACTTTTCGCATCCCTGGAAGCCAGGCCCAACTGCAGACTCAGACCTTGTGCTTTCATCTCCCAGGCTGATGTGTGGTCTGCAGGGATTCATTCAGGCTGCTTTAAAAGGATCCACAGTTTCCAAAGCGGGATCCACGGTAGCTTCTGTAGGACTGCTTGCTGTAACAGCTCCCTATCCTAGAGGAGCCCCCAAACCCAAAGGAGCCCCTATTTCCAAAGGAGTCCCCCATCCCTGACAGACCTCCGCACCAAGCAGAGCCCCCCATCCCCAACATGCCTCCATACCCAACTGAACCCTGAGATCCAAAGTAGCCTCCCGTTCCTGACGCCCCTCCAGCCCCAAAGGAGACCCCCTTCCCTGACATGCCAACAGAGCCCCCCATTCCATGGGATTCCTCAGAGCCATACTGGATTGCAGGACCATACGGCTGGGGAATTGAAGTTCCCACGATGCTCTCCTGGGAGCAGCTGGCAAGGGTCGGGCCTGGGAAGGTGAGGACAACTGGAGGGGCGTACACCACAGCTCTCGAGTCCCCACAGGACGTAACACAGGGCTCAAGGCTTCTGCTGCAGGCATATGGCTGTGTGCATGCCACCTCGCAGGTGGGCAAGCACTCAGAGCTGATGTTCATCATTTGTCTTGAGGAGTGGAGGTGTAGCTAGAAAAGACAGTGTTCTGTCAAGAAACCATCATGCACAGGTTTCCAGTGCATGCATCTCATCCTTCCCAGCAGCTGCCCACTAAGTTCTAGCTCAAACCTCTCTTCCAGTTTTCATTTTCCCCACAGTTTTCTTCCTGGCTGACCCCTTTTTAAGGCTTCTCACTTCCTCAACCACATCTTTTATTCTTTAGAATCTCTTGGAAAGCATTGCTCTTATTATCTCTGTTATCTGATGCTTATACAATTACTTGCTTTAAAAAGTCCCGTTCATTCCCTTTTCCAAGTCAACCTGCAAGAAGGTTTACTTCTAAGAAAATCTCCAGTGGAAAGGAGCAGGTGAGGCTCTTCCTTACTCTGTTCTTCCCCTTATCTTGGTTTTCTTCTGTTGACTTCTGCTCTCTCTCTTCAAAATTTCCAAAATTACTAGCATTTTACAGGATAAGAAAGCATACATAAATTCTAAGTGATCTGTAGCTATAGACATGCACTGAGATCAGACTTACCCTGTTGTCTCCGAGGAAGATGTCAGTGGAGATGGAAGGATAGAAGATTTCTTATTTCCATACCCTGTTATATATGTTCTTAGACAATAGGATGGATATGAGGTCATCCACTGTCCATTGAATTCTTGTCATTTATCACAAAAGCATATTATTCTAATCTTCCTAATTGTTCTCCTTTCAGTTCATAATTAGTGAATTACAACACCCAGCAGTTTTCTTTTGTCTAAACTCAATGATTCTGGTTGAAACAAGAGTTGATCTCTCTGTGTGTTTATCCATAATGGCTTTCAGGAAGGCACCTAGCTGATGTGTCAGCCACACAAATTATTTGCAAGCCTTGGGTTTAGGTATAATGCCTCCCAAATTGCATCACTTCTGATGGGGGAGTCAGCATTCTTTGCATCCCCACCTGTACTCTATCAACTGAGTGGTTGATCCAGCACCATGGCAGAATCAGGCCTCTTGGATTACTGTGAGCACAGACCAGGCAATGACCTGGGAGGTGAGAACACGAGTTCTGAGCCTGCAGGTGGGACTTCTTTTGGAGATGGGGAAAGCCTTTTGTGTCAGTAGGAGTCTCCCTTCCTTGATACCTCTGAAATGCAGGCCTACACCTCTTTTTGGCTTAGTTTTATTAATGACCGCTTCTGTTAATCACCCTATGATAATAGATACCTATTTTCATTATGCCAGTGTAAAAAAAAAAAAAAAAAAAAAGTCATTGAAAAGGCCTGACACAGAGATTGTCAATAAAACTCTGACATAATAAGAACAGGCGGAAAGCCAACTCCTCACAGGCAGTGATGGCTGTAGCTGTCCCTGGAAGTGAGAAGGTTTCTGCTTCATGTTGTGCTGCCATCTCAATCTATACCCTATTTCCCCTTGGAATTAAAATCAAACTGTGTTCAGTTTTTCTTTCTCCCAAGGACAGTTTAGGTCCTATCTTTTCCACTAGCTCTTTAGGCTTTCTAGAGCTTTTAATGTCACCTATGAGTGGCAATTATGTGTTTTTATGGTAATATGATAGTAATTGCTTAAGTAGTGCAGGTGTTGTGAAAATGAATAGTTGAATGAGGCATTCAAAATTAAATATGCAAAGCAGTTTGGGATTGCATTTCTGTAGGGTGCAGAGGTTTCTGAAGCTGATGACTCAATAATTTGTGCTGGCGTAGGAACGGGTAACAAGCAGAAATCCTTTGCCACAGACAACCCTTAGAGAAATCTTTTTCCATCAGAGCAAATATTTAATTTCATGTCAAATGAGGGATAAGAGCTGAAATGTCACATCTCAAGAAGATCAACCATGTCATCTGCCTTGACTTTGGCAAGGCTTTTGATACTGTCTCCCATGACATCCAGATAATGAAGCTGAGAAACTGTGGGAAAGATGAGTGGACAATGAGGTGGGTTGAGAACTGGCTGACTGGCTGAGCTCAGAGGGTTGAGTCTGGTTGGAGACCTGTGACTAGCATTGTTCCCCAGGGGTCACTGCTGGGTCTGATCTTATTCAGTATCTTCATCAATGACCTTGATGAGGGGATAGTTTCTACTCTCAGTAAGCATTCCGATGATACAAAGATGGGAGGAGTGGCTGACACACCAGAAGGCTGTGCTGCCATTCAGCAAGACCTGGACAGACTGGAGAGCTGGGCAGCAATAAATCAGATGAGGTTTAACAAAAGCAAGTGCAGAGTCTTGCACCTGGGAAGAAATAACCGCACGTATCAGCATAGGCTGGGACATGACCTGCTGGAGAGGAGCTCTGCAGAGCAGGACCCTGGGGTCTTGGTGGATGGCAGATTAGCCATGGGCCAGCAGTGTGGTGGCCAAGAAGGCCAATGGGATCCTAAGGTGCATTAAAAGGAGTGTGGCCAGCAGGTTGAGGGAGGTGATCCTCCCCCTCTGAACTGAGTTTGTTCAGCCTTGAGAAAAAAAGATTCAGAGGTGATTTTATTAATGTTTACAAATATCTTAATTGTGGGAGACAAAGAGACATGGCCAACCTCTTTTCAGTGGTCTGCGGGGACAGGACAAGGGGAAACTGACATAAACTGGAGCATAGGAAGTTCTGCACCAATATGCAAAGGAACTTCTTCGTGGTAAGGGGGATGGAGCACTGGAACAGGCTGCCCAGGGATGTTGTGGATTCTCCGTCTCTGGAGATATTCAAGACCCACCTGGATGCCTACCTGTGCAGCCTGCTGTAGAGAGCCTGCTTTGCAGGGGGGTTGGACTCAGTGATCTCTTCAGGTCCCTTCCAACCCCTACAATTCTGTGATATGCCTGATTTGATGCCTGAGATTGATCGCCTTGTATTTGCAGGATAAACTAGAGAAGCAATTTAGGAATTTTCTTTCAGTATGGCCTTATCAGTGGGCTGTATTTGTATGACAGCATAATTGCTTTCAGGTCACAGTGGCATGCGAGGGAGAGTTTCATAAGTGATGAGTAAGAGGAGACTGAGAAATAATGCTCTGTTTTTTGTTTTCTATAGTTACTGCTGGGAGTAAAAAATGCAAAGAGATCAACGGGTGAATTTCCAAGACATGTCTATTGAATGCTAAAGACATGTTTAAGCCTGGCTCCCCTGTTTTTGGATGACGTTACTTGGAAAATATATAGTTAAAATCAGGAACCAAACAAAGATTTATTTGCATTTGTTCTTAATATTTCATGTTTTACTATAAAATCGTTAGTGTTTATGCAATTGTGAAGAATGAGGTGAAACATGGAATCTATCAGCTGAGAGAGATCACAGAATATAACTGTCTTCAGACCCCAGTGTCACTTTGAAAATCTAGCCTCCATATCTTTGTCAAAGTTAAGGTGAAAATAGTGGTCAGATAAATAAATAACTGAAGCTTTTTTGGAGACAGTAGAAAAAAAAGTTTTTTCCTCTTAAAGATTCGAGCAACCAGTGCTCAGCTGTCAGTCAGCTGCATGAATAAGTATTTCGTAATCACAGAGATTTCAAGGTGGAAAGGTGAAAAAGAAAACCGTGAGGCAAACGTACTGATGCAAGATAAGTTTAATGACAGGGAAGTACAGTGCACATTTGGTGAAGGCAGTCACAGAGCACACAGGACATTCCCCTGCGAGCTCAGTGCAGCCCAGGAACGGGAGACATTGGCTTTTCAGAAGTAACCACAGCTTCCCCCACTCGACCTGCGGAACCCAGAGGAGCCACTGCCTCCATAGCAGCTGGCTATGCCAAAGGAGCGCCCTCCCCCAGAGGAGCCACCGCCGTAGGAGCTGCCTCCTCCAAAGCCACCTCCATAGCAGCTCCTGGAGATGATGGATCTTCTGCCTCCAAATGAGCCCCCGGAGCCAAATGACCTGCCCCCTCCATAGGAGCTGCCTCCTCCGTAGGAACCCCCAATGCCCCCTCCATAGGAGCTGCCTCCTCCATAGGAACCCCCAATGCTCCCTCCATAGGAGCTGCCTCCACCATAGGAGCCACCAGAACCAAAAGAGCCCCCTGATTCACCGGAGCTCTGTGGTCCTGAGAAGCCCCCAATGGGTGATGGGAATGAGTTGCCCACAACGCTCTCCTGTGGGCAGGAGTTGAGGATGGGGCCTGGGAAGTTGATGAGCACAGGTGGGGGGTAGATGACAGCACGGGAGTCCCCACAGGAGGTGACACAGGGCTGGCTGCAGACGTTGGCGAAGGGCTGCGGGCAGGTCACCTCACAGGGTGCGGAGCATCTGCTGCTTAACATCTGTCCTCCTGAAGACATGTTTGTGATGCGGATATACCTGCAGAAGGACATAAAACAGAAGGATGGAGCTCAGAAGCTGGAGTGAAAAAAGCTTGCAGCACTGAAGTTTTGCATCAGCATGGAGAAAAGGTGAAAGATGACTTGAGAAAGGTTCAGACTTATCTCCCTTACAAATTTTTTCTGCACATGCATGAAGTAGCAGCTGGTAAATTACAATTGAATCCCTGCTGCTCTAGAAATACTGAATAACCTGGAGAGCAGAGCCAAAATCTCTGAGTCTTTAGAAGACCTTTTAGATTGTTGGTTTACAATGCATAGCTCTGGAGTGATCTGACAACACTGAATTAATTGGAGCATCTGCAAAAATTCAGTCTTATCTATATCTACAAAGACATGCTTTAAAATGACATTAAAACCAGAAGGAAACAACAGAGCTTAGCAGCACATTCCCCATACAAGAACATACAGAGAAGAGCAGAAAATAGTTTCCTAAAGCTTCCAAAAGAGAATGAAGGAGTTCCAACTCACCGGATCTGGAGAAGTGTAGATGAAGAGTGGATGTGGATGAGACTGCAGCACTCAGAGCACTCGTATTTATATCCCTTCTCAGACCACCAGTAGGATGTGAGCCACGCTTTGTGCAAGAGCTTCCTACCTATTGCCAAACTGTGTTTTGCTGTATGGATTATTTCGTTAATTGTTCTAATTGTTCTCTTAAGTGATGTGATCACAACTTTATACTCAACTCTAAGTCACGTTACAAGCATTTTACAAGCATAATGAGTTTTAGCTTATTCTCTGACCATGACAGATTCACATAGCAGTTGATATTTTTCCTGGCCCTCATTGAAATTGAAATGGGAATGGTGCTATAATTCTATGTAAGGACTCTATCCAGCTGATAAACTGCTTTATATACATTATAAACTGCATAATATTCCATTTCTGTTCTTCAAAATTGGGAGAGCAACATGTTGGGTGGTGAACAGAATGCTGCCACTCACCCGTGGTGGGAAGAAGCAGAAGGCAGTGCCCAGGGTCCTGCATGTAAATTGTTATTTCTCAACTGTAGACGATTGACATTAACTGAGCAGCTAACGAAGAATTGCTGACTAGCAAAAACTGTCACATCATGAGCTACCCACTGATGCCTGACAGAACTCGTTTGCATTGTGATGCAAGGTTTTAACTGTATAAGCTCTTTGTGCTCTATTTTCTAATGGTGTTTGAAAACACAGGAAACCTGTGATGGAAACATTAAGTACAGTGTGACAAGTGGGACAAGGCTAGAAACCAAACCAATTCGTTTCAGATCATCTGTGGTTGCTCTCTTCCCACAGCTGTGACTGAGAGCCAAAGTCGACAATTTCTTCAGATTATTTGAACTCAGCAACAAAGCACTGAAGTTGGATGCTTGATACTGCTGACATCTATCCACCTGACGCTCGTTACAACCCCACAAAAAGGTTGATCTGATCATCTCCCCCTGGTTATTGGTAAATGAGATTTTGTATGGAGAGATCTCTTTCTGTTTATGGACTCTTAGCCCTACCTCGTGCTGGTACATGAGACTTGTAAGCACTATTCCAGAAATACTGCTGAGGTTTTCGTGAATAAAATAAAATAAGAGTCTTTTCCCATTCTTAAGACTCTCACAGTTGTTTTATTTTAAACCACCTTTAGACATACTCCACATGCATCCATTCCATGCCCCAGAAGTCTTTATTGTTCCCTTACTGATGCCTCCTGGAGAACATCCGTCTTGCTAAACCATCACAGCTCTCCTGGAAGGTGACAAAAGAAGGAGAGCAATAAACGCATTAAATGTTCTCATGCAGTGCTTCCTTGTAGTTAACTGGATGACACTGTACGTTTGATGAAGCTCCTCTGTAAGCAGTTATTTGGGTGGATGTTAGACAGAACTGACCTGCCCCATCTGAGGAGCTGCAGGGATGAAATTCGCAACTCTCCCAATTATTTGCAATTCTGAATTTCAACAGAACCTGCTGCAGAACAGAAAATGTTTCCCCTGACGAAGGAAAACTCATGTCTTTCTCTTCCTAAAGACTGATGTCTTTACCTTGGTCAGCAAACAGAGCTCAGTTCATTGCCACTGCAATTCAAATGAGGTCAGGAGATGGCACTAGTCATAAAAAGGAATAGAAAAAAAACATTTAGGTATTACAGTAAGACAAAGGGCGTGTTGAGTATATAGAATGATGCGGGGCTGATTTACTAGCCATTATCAGTTATCAAAATAATTATTACAATTAGAAATAGCTTATACAGCAAAATGCTTTGCTGGCTAACTACTATGCCCCATGTGCAGGAGCGTGTTGCGTATCCTGCTAGCAGTTGGAAGGACTGTATAAAAGCACTGCATTTCTTCCAGGTTCACCAACGACTTCACTTCATCAGGTTTTCTCTGTGAGCCTGGTAAGTATTTCTCCTTAAGTTTCTTTACAGTTACTGAGATGTTTCTATTGTTGTTTAACTGGGGAGTGAACTCTATGTCAGTTCTCTGTGATGCTCAGAAATGTTGGTTTTGTTAAATATTAGGATATTTGTAGCCATTCAGCTGTAGTCAATGATAGATAAGTGGCCTTAAAATGTGAGGCTGCATTCATGCAAACCACAAAGGGAAGGAGTCAGTTAAATCTCCTTAATTTGTTAAGGAGGTTACAACTTGGAACTCAGCAGTAATTAAGAGATGTGTATATATTAATGCAGAAGAGATAACCTCAGTTGATTTCTGCTTGTAACTACACAGTCTGACAAATCTGTTTCCAAGATAACCCATTAACTGAAAACACTGAGGCAGAAATTGGTCTCTAGCAGAACTGATAGTGGTGGAACACTGATCAGAACAAACACTGCTTCAGAACCAAGGCGGGAGGAAGGTACTTTGGAAAGATTTATTCCTTACTGGCTGCTACACCAGACTGAAAGAGAAGTTGCTTTAGGATCTGTATTGTTTAGACTTAGCCATACTGAGCAATAATAATTCAGATTGGACAGAAGATAAGAAGAATACAGTAAGAAAATAGTCTCATATTGTAAGAAAATAATTTCTTCTATAGGAAGCAAACAGTTTGTGTCATCACAAAGCTGGTACAAGAGCACAGAGATGCACATGTATTTTATTTTAACTCCTTAATCACTGCTGCAGGTATATCTGCATCACAAAAGATGTCTTCAGGAGGACAGATGTTGAGCAGCAGGTGCTCTGCACCCTGCGAGGTGACCTGCCCGCAGCCCTATGCTGATGTCTGCAGCCAGCCCTGTGTCACCTCCTGTGGGGACTCCCGTGCTCTCGTCTACCCTCCACCTGTGGTCATCACCTTCCCAGGCCCCACCCTCACCTCCTTCCCACAGGAGACCATTGTGGGCTCTTCATTCCCAGTACCCATTGGGGGCTTCTCAGGGTCACTGGGCCCCAGTGAATCAGGGGGCTCTTTTGGTTCTGGTGGCTCCTATGGTGGAGGCAGCTCCTATGGAGGGAGCATTGGGGGTTCCTACGGAGGAGGCAGCTCCTATGGAGGGGGCATTGGGGGTTCCTATGGAGGAGGCAGCTCCTATGGAGGGGGCAGGTCGTTTGGCTCCGGGGGCTCATTTGGAGGCAGAAGATCCATCATCTCCAGGAGCTGCTACGGAGGTGGCTTTGGAGGAGGCAGCTCCTACGGCGGTGGCTCCTCTGGGGGAGGGCGCTCCTTTGGCATAGCCAGCTGCTATGGAGGCAGTGGCTCCTCCGGGTTCCGCAGGTCGAGTGGGGGAAGCTGTGGTTACTTCTGAAAAGCCAATGTCTCCCATTCCTGGGCTGCACTGAGCTTGCAGGGGAATGTCCTGTGTGCTCTGTGACTGCCTTCACCAAATGTGCACTGTACTTCCCTGTCATTAAAACTATTTTGCATTCAAACTCAACTCTCTCTTGTTTTTTTTCCCTTTTAATCCATGTTTTCTTTTTCACCTTTTGAATAATTCAGGAAATCTACAAGTGTTCTAAATGAGAGTCATACCCCTTTATTACACCAAATTTTTGTGGCTGATGGGTAAGATTGATAAATCTTACACCAGATCCTTTGGTACTTGTGGTAAAGTCATGCGGCATAGAATCAAAAAAGTAAATCAACCAGTGCCTTCCTAGAAATACAGGCTAGTGACAGCCATGCTCCTTTTGAGAATAGGAACCTACAATATCTGTTTAAATCAATTATAATATAGTAATTTGTTGATATGAAGGGCTTTGTTTTTTTTTATTTTTCTGAAGAATTTCTGGATATTGGGATTTGTGTGCATGTATGCCCTTGGGCTCTGGCTTAACTAAGTGCTCCATGTGCCGCTTAATTCCTATGTGGACACTTTCCCATAATAACATGACTCATCCTTATGAATCTGGTCATATCACTCTGCTCACTCTGCTTTTGTGCCAGAAGGAACTTCTGGACAATTTAAACCAGAAAATATTACCCAGTACTTTAAATCTACTCCATAATTTCTCACTTTTGATTTTAAATCTTTTGGGATTCATTCATCCCTGCCAAATTATTTCAATTGCTAATTGTAGTTATGATTTTTTTTTTCATATTCTTCCTTCTCTAATCACAGCCTATTTGGAGAGACCTCCCCTTTGCCCACAGTTATTTGCATGTATTCTTGATCTTATTTCACATAAACTATCCAGCACCTTTGATTTACTTATTTTAGAGAGGCTCACACAAAGGGATATGAAATTGTACAACATTTCTTCAAGGAGAAAGGACTTAAAAACCCTTTTATATCCAGTGGGATAATAGGAAATGAAGTCATTGGCTTACAGTGCCATAAAGAAGAGCAAAATCAGTTTGAGGGGGAAAGAACTCCCTCCCAACTGCAGAAGCAATGAGGTGCTGACATACAAATGAGACAGTGGTATCCCAGGGCTGGGACACTGTTGAGAGCAGCTCAGACAAAGCTTTTCCAGAGATAATTCAGGGGAGAGCATGGGATGAGAAACCTCAGCA